TTATTTGAAATAGAAATCTAAACCAAAATGCTTGTAAGAGATTGAAAATGTAAATCTCTTGGATATGATCCCAGAGAGGACGGGTTATCTGAGGGTAAATTCCTCAGCTCACGATAGTTCCTGTATCATCTCTGATCAGGTCAGACGAGGGCTGTGTGGGACCATTTTCCCAGGGACGAACCTCGTGTGAGTGACTCTGTTGGAGGGGGGAAAAAGGGGGGTTATGGGGGTTTAAGGGGGGAGATAGGTGGGGGGGGGGGGGTTAGGGAGGGGGGGTTCCTGGCTTCTTAACTGGTTATCTGAGAGCTGCTCACGAACGCGTCTGTTGATAAGATCACAATAAGGGACTAAGATAATCTCGGGTGATAAGGTTGCTCTGTTATTACGACTGGTGAAGGGGATGGAGAGGGGGGGAAAGGCTGTTGTTTTCTCTGAATGGCTGTCCGTGTATTGCCTGGCTTTTGTTTCTATCTGTTTATCTTGTTTCTGTCTGTTTATCTTGTTCCTGTCTGTTTATCTTGTTCCTGTCTGTTTATCTTGTTCCTGTCTGTTTATCTTGTTTCTGTCTGTTTTCGATTCTGCCTCAAGTGTGTCTGTACTCGCCTAGTTGTGCTTGCGAGGGTTGAGCTCTGGCTCTTTGGCCCTGCCTCTCAGTCAGTCAACTGGTGCCGTGCTATTTTCTGTGTGTTTGGACGTGTTTGTTATGTCTGTGGGTCTTTGTTCTACCTATGCTTTCTCTCTCTCTCTCTCTCTCTCTCTCTCTCTCTCTCTCTCTCTCTCTCTCTCTCTCTCTCTCTCTCTCTCTCTCTCTCTCTCTCTCTTTTTCTCTCTCTCGCGAAAATAAAATTACTATTCCGCCAAATCAAGAGAGCGGATTCATGGGCCAGACTGGCGTCTAACAGCCTGGCTGATCAGACCACCAATCATTGATGAGGGAAAGCATAGAACGAGTTCATTTACAAGGGAGTAATCAAGCCGCGGGTTCATTTACAAGTGTATTCAAGACAACATATACATTGCTTGAGAGTCACTAAATTGAGGTTCATTATAGGATTAGATCCTGTTAAGAAGTTCTGTCGTCGCTGATGCTTCTATACGACCTCGTAATAGAGTTTGATCCTATTTAATCCATCGTCTCTAATCGCGATGTAGTCAGCTGCGTCATTTGTCACTCTTAAACCTATTAAACCCTGTTCGGGTTTAATTTATAGTGATGATGCAGGTGGAGACTTTGGTTTATGCTCGGGGGTTCATGGAACGCGCACACGCACGCACACAATCATACACATCTATACACATCATACGCAAACACACGCAGGTACAAGCACAGAGACACGAGAGAGAGAAAGCTTTTTCAGTGTCAGGGTAGTTGACAAATGGAATGCGCAATATACCAACTGAAAACAACATAGCACAGACCATATACACTGACGGATCACTCAAATACAGCTACAGGGAGGGCAGGAAGTGCTGTTATTGCTCATCAGCCCGATGGCAGCACAATTGAAAAGGATATAAGAGTTTAGTAACTGGGCATTCACAATGCAAGCTGAGTTGGTAGCAACACTGTTAGCACTCGAAATTATTGACAACACTGAAGTACACAGCTTAATTATTTCCGACTCCCTTTCCTCACTACGAGCAATAAACAGTTTGCAATCAAGTAATAACGTGCTTCACACACAGAGATCACACTAACGTGATGCCTCAAATGAACAAAATTATACGGGATCCAGTAAGTTCAGTAGAATTTCGGTTTCAACCCTTTTACCCTGTCGTAGCTCAGTCGATTAAGGCAGTGTCTGGGATGCTCCCAGACGCAGGTTCGAATCCTCGTCACGGCCCTTGTGGATTTGTTCATTTAATAACGTGCTTGTCTCAGAAGCCAGACAAAGATATATAAGCATACTTAGCAAGAGGGTAAATATCAAAATGTTGTGGATTCTTTCTCACATTGGCCTGCAGGAACATGATAAAGTTCACGCCCTTGCTAAGGCTGCAGTAAATAAAGGCAGTATTGAACAGAATCTTGAGTTATCATCAAATAGGTCCCTTAAAAAGTGTCATTAGACGTGAACTCTTAGATGCATTTGAAGAAAGCAGAACAGTGCAAACTGGAACTAGCAGGTCCATTGTTCATCACAATGAAATGTGTGAAGTAAAACATGTGTATGGGCCAAGTAACAAAGTCAGTAGACTAACAGATGTTGTCACAGCTCGTATATGACTTGGCTACAAGTATCTCTGGCAGTTCGGCTTGTATAGGGATCTAGATGAAGTAAAGTGTAAAGTGTGTGGACAAAGACAGGGACACACACTCGATCACTATATTTTGGATTGTAATAAAATTGAGCCATTTAGAGATAAATCTAATCTCACTCTGTTTGATATGGCAATCTTATTACCATGGATAAAATACCTGAAATCCTTGCACTGTATCCATATTTCGCTTCCAGTAGATAAACGACATATGAGATTAAGGAACAAGTAGTGTATTGTGAAGACTAATAATAAACAGCAGCTCCCCTATGACTGCAATATCTCCATAGCTCAGTTATGTAGTAGCGATAAGACCAACCATTAATGTATAATGATTAGCTGTAAATATATAGCCCTTCTAATAGAAAATTCTCTGTAAATAGCTGCCATTATAATTATAAGGTGTGAAGGATAGATGAAATTGTTAATGTAATAATCTCCGTTGAGGTCTGATAATGACCTTTTGTGCCCCCTGTAATTCTTTTTGCGCTACCGCTCACAGGATGAGTATGGGGTGCACAATAAACTAGCCGCCTCCGCTGGCAACAATAAAAATACAAAAATGGAATGTACTAGGCAGTGATGTAGTGGAGGCTGACTCCATACACAGCTTCAAATGCAAATATGATAGAGCGCAATAGGCTTAGGAACCTGTACACCAGTAGATTGACAGTTGAGAGGCGGGACCAAAGAGCGGAAGCTCAACCCCCGCAAACACAACTTGGAGTGTACACATGAGTAGAGGAATCTGCAGAAAATTAATTGGTCCAAGTGACTTCATGTTTATATATTCAACTATTCCCACTTATATTACGTCGACGTTTCAACCTTTCTAGTGTCTTTAGTCTTATTTGGTAACTTCCCGCCAAACACACACCGAAACTACGACGTTGGTACAACATTTGAACAAGTTCTAACACCTCCTAACCAGTTATAACAATATAGCAAGTTGTAACAACGTTCTAATACGTCATAAACACGTTAAGCCAAGATGTAACAACTTTATTACAAGTTGTAACAAGCGGAAAATAGACAGTTACGGTTTGTGTTTCCAGGGTTGTACCATCCTGGGGGGCCTGACGCCTGAGTGTACAGCGCTCGGGATTCGTAGTCCTAAGGTTCCGGGTTCGATCCCCGGCAGAGGCAGAAACAAATGGGCTGAGTTTCTTTCAAACTGATGCACCTGTTCACCTAACAGTAAATAGGTACCTGGGAGTTACAGCTGCTACGGGCTGCTTCCTGGGGGGTGTGTAACAAAAAGGAGGCCTGGTCGAGGACCGGGCCGCGGGGACGCTAAGCCCCGAAATCATCTCAAGATAACCTCCTATACATGTCCTGTACCGGACAGCCTGCTTGAGAACCCACCTGTACCCTCGTATACATGTCCTGTACCGGACAGCCTGCTTGAGAACCCACCTGTACCCTCGTATACATGTTCTGTACCGGGCAGCCTGCTTGAGAACCCACCTGTATTCTCGTATAACATGTCCTGTACCGGACAGCCTGCTTGAGAAGCCACCTGTACCCTCTTTAATGTCCTGTACCGGACAGCCTGCTTGAGAAGCCACCTGTACCCTCTTAAATGTCCTGTACCGGACAGCCTGCTTGAGAACCCCCTGTACTCTCTTTAATGTCCTGTAATAGACTGGGCTACAGGTTGAGGGGAGAAGACCTGCCTGGCCTTCATTCGTCAGTGTATCTGAGCCATCACAAGCTCTACTACACCTGACAACCCAACAGGGTAAAGAGCCAGATGAGTACGTCTGATACCATACTACTTGTGAAGGAGGAAATGTATATGTTTACCTCTCAGAATGTTTGGTAATGTGTTTATTGTTTGTGATGTGTGTCTATGTATATATTAACACGTTGTACTGAATGGGGTGAGAATAGCTTGAGCTACCTCATCCCTTTGTGTGTATTTTATCTCAATAAACTTATTTCAATTTCAATTTCAAAAGCCAGATGATGACTATCAACACGCGAGTAAAGTTAAAACTGCACTATAATCTACATATCACTCAGGTCAATGAGGGTCATAGGAAGGGGCGGTAAAAAAACAACCACCACGTTACAACATTCCAGCAACGTTATTGCTCAAAACGTAAGAGTAATGTTGTGGAAAGGGTGTGTGTTGGGGTTAGGAAAGGTGTTAAGAGGATTTGCGTTAGCATGCAGAGGAATGGGTAACCTTGAAGAAGAGGGGCAAGGGGCAGTTAAGAGAGGGTTTTATGGGCATTAGTTTATCAGACCTTACATCTTGATGTGTCTTATAAAGGGCAACTGGAATTTAATTTTGTGTTTTATGGCTGTGTTGTGAGACATAAAAATTTAAACTCCATATGTCTAAATTCTGATGGAAGGACGCGAAGAACTGAATAAAGCATGGAGCAGAAGACAAAAATATAGAAAAAGATTCGTCCTAGATTTATTGATCTATCGTATTTAATAACTCATGTTAATTTTTTTAAGTCATTTCAGGCTCTCCTTACCTCCTTTTCACAATTATTTATTTCCCTAATTTTTCACCTGAATCCATAATTTATTTGTGACTTTGTCTTTGTTATCTATGGAATCGGGTATAATTTCTCCTCTGCTTCATCATAATCTTTTCCTGCTCTTCAAATGTATAATTTTTTGGTTAATCTTGTATGTGTATTGTCTATAATTTTTCATAACGTTAATTATTCCTTATTGTTCATACTTAATTACACATTGTTGACTCTGCAATTATCTAAACA